GGTGGGATTGAGAATCGATGAAATTGCCAGTTTCTCTTACCTAGTATATAATACAGCATGCAAATGTACCTTGACGCCTGGAAATGGAGAATGTACCATCGAATATTGCAACTAAAGACGTCAGTTAAAGTTTAAACAAAGAAAATTCATTTAGGGTTTCTGAGGGTTTCTGTTGCTGACTTATCCAACGGCGCACTGGGAGTTGTGGAAAGCTGGCTCTTCCTTTATTGGTTTTCAATGATTGAATTTTTTAGCGGAAAGTTGAAACTAGTGAAGGACAATAAACCAATCTTAAAATTGCAGCTGTTGCTTCTGCTTTGAGTAATGGCGAATGCCACATGCACTGTCATGTAAAATCGTCTGGTGCAGAACCTCCTCATTAGCCGAATGTGTTTTCTCTACTTTGGAAAATTTGCTAGATGACTCAGCGCTTGTGCTTTAAATTGTGGCTAGAAACGCCGTTTATAGTTGAGGAAACATAGAAAATCGATTGGTAAAGGCAGTGTGGCGTAGACAGCCAAGACGATGCAAAAGGCTCTGCTCATGGGTAGGCAGTGGTCTTTGTAGCAACAAAACTTTAAGATGAAGCTGAGATTGAAAACCCCATCACCATTATAAATTTCGTAAAGTTGCATTTTTTTACTTTTTCTAATAAATGTTTCTTAAACATATTTAAATGTTGGTTGCCTGTTGAAATTGCTAAAAAGGCGGAAAGAAATGGAAACGCGAGAGCTATCGTTTAGTAAACCATAAATTTGGGACTCGTGTAAGTATCCTTTATCACGGCAATAAATGTAAAAGCAGCGGAACTTCACTTTCTTTGCCTTAAGTGTTTATCTAGCCGAAAAAGTGATCAAAAAACAAAGTTGGGCGATCCTTTCAACTAAATGTTCTCTGGGCCGGACTTTTCTCAAACTCATGTTCGAACAGTATGGGTCTTGGCACAAAATCAACGTGGGAAGCACACAAAAACAAAATTTTAAAATCATATGTTTGGATTGGTGAGTGGGAATCGATAAGCAACTGCATCGAGCTCACGCCAGATTAATAATCCAACTGGCGTAAAACAAAAAGCCGCAAACTAACCGCATGATTGACGATAACCACAACGTTCGGCATTGCCTGCCACAGTACAATGGGATGGAGTTGGTTGACCAATTTCCAAATTAAGCTATGTGCGGATTGTTTCTGCTTGAGAAAAGGCTCAAAAGCTCCCGTAAAGGAGCTATTGTTCACCAGATATCGACACTTCCGGGTTAACAACAGTTTAAGGTGTTTGCTGATTTAATCGAGATGTAGCAGATCATTCATTGTTATTTTTGCTTGGAAAATATCTGGTTGGCTAACGTGCGGCAGAGCCCCAGTGGTGTACCTACTGAGTCATTACGCAGGTTCCACCGGAAATATTGCAGTTCGACCGTCAGAAACAAAGACGTCAACCATGCGCCCTGTGGGATGAATGTAGGACGGTAGCCTTGTATAGCATCTGCGACGCTATACACAGCAAGCGCATAGGGCTTGCCATTCACACATTCTGTACTGAGAGTTTGCCTGAGCAGGGGATCAGTCGCTTGGGGAGGCCGCGAACGACAAGCAGGATGAGCGACTCCGAGCCAAAGTGCCGTGTGATTATCAAGCCCACATCCAGCACGGATGATGACATCACTGCCATCAACGACTCGGACGCGGACCGCCGAGCCATCATCACCTAAGTGATGACCCCCAGCGGTGCTCACAAGAGCTGCTTATTATAGTAACCACGTGTTCGCGTGGCAAGTAGGCTTAAAAATACTCTGGAGCACCTTTTTCTGCGATTGGCTCTGATAATGGTTTCGAGCGACAATCCGAAACTTCAGGCCAATAACTGTTTTTTTCTTCTAAACTCTCTTATACCTCATGCAACTGACTCTGGTGACACGACAGTATCAGCAATGTATCATAAAGCTAAACAGCGTCTCTGCGCAGGCCATCCATGACCTGGCCCCCATAGTTTCCACGTTAGGCTTCTGTAAGATCGACTTGGGTCATATTATGGGAAAGCTATCCAGTCATTTGGCAACCTTCCAAGCCACGGCTACTACCTGGCCATGACAGACTTCAGTGCGATAGATTTATTCTAGTGAAGATGGTGCGGATGTGTCGTGAGGAAAGTTTCCCAAATATGGGCCACACTGTCTCTTCCGTGTACTGGTCCCCTTTCTTAACCTGTCAATCATGTGCTACTGGGATTTGGCATAATTTATAACAAGGCGCCTCAACCTCAGTAGTTAGACTCTGCGCAGCCTGTTTAACGCAAACCGTGAGCTGAT